TTTTTTATATCCTTGGGAGGATATTAACTATCTTGCTCCTCCTCTTCTTCCTCCTCCATTTTGAAATAGAGTCTCCCGTGTAGCCCTGGCTGGCCTGAAACTCACTATAAATAGACCAGGCTGGCCTTCAACTCAAGAGAGATTCACCTGCCTCTGCCTGAAGAGTGCTGGGATGAAAAGTGTGAGCAATCATGCCTCAATTTTTTTTTGGAGGGGGTGGATGAGAAGGGGTTAGGATCTCATATATTCTAGATTGACCTTAAACTTGTTGCATAGCCAAAACTCACCTTGAACTACTGATCCTTTTTTTTAAAGTACATTTTAATTTATTTATTTTATGTGACTATCAGAGTCTATTGGGGTCCAGCTCCTAAATAACCTTTTCCCGGGGTTCTAGAAGAGACACTAGAGGCAGCAAGAATTAATCTGAGGGATACTCGAATGAATCTAAGTACACTGATCTCTTTAGTCCATTCACTTTATTCTTCTAAGTCAAAATCTGCCTGTGCAGTGGGGGTACTAGTTTATATACACTTACAAGCAGTCCTGCCCGCAAATGTGAAGTTTTTGAAGGTCCTAAAAAGGAGGTGATAGGGTCCACCCCAGGAGCAGTGATAGTCGGCTTCATTACAATCCAAAAGGGGAGTGGTTAAAGGAGGTGGGGTCAACTAAGAGCTAAAATCAGTTAATAGAGCAGAAAAAGGAAATTTATGTGCCCAAACTACATTCCTAGAAGTGGTTAGGTAAAATGATAGGAGTTATATGTCACTAATAAGTCACAAGTAAAACAAAACTGCCTTTTCTTTCCTCTGGAGCCATATCTGTCTCAGTTTAAATTGGCTGTGCCATTTTCTGGCAGGACAGGGGTAGCTAGGCAGCCTGTGTCACATCTTGATGTACCTGGTATACAAAAAGCCCTTTTGTTCTAAGTGAAATGTCAAAGGGGAAGTCTAGAGGTACCGCTAGGGCAATGGAAGAAAGGAGGGTCTAAGATTGATTTACACAAGAAACAAAGCTATGTACCTAACATCTGCCTGGCCTAGACCCCGTCTCCATACGGACATTTACCTTAATTCAGGAGACTAGTAGGTGGTCTGGAATGTTTATTCGGTCTGCCATCTGTCCTTGAATGTTTCCGAGGTATCTCAGATAAAATGCTTTTATCCGGAGATGGCCCTGGCCCTGGATACTTGCTAAAGGAGATCATTACAGAAGGCAGATCCCGGACTCTAACGCTAAAAAAGAGAAGCCAAAAGCCTAGAAGAAGGGAGTCTTGCCAGTGTGGCTGTTGCCAGCACAGTTGGGGGAAGTTATCTAAACACCTTAATTGTATAGGGAAACACTGTGCCCAAAGAATGATCAATCACACTGCTAGAAGAATCAAATGGGAAAGCTGTAATAGCACATATGAAATTCATTGCAGGAGACAGCTGATGTACTCAAAAGCCAACAGCACCAATACTTTCTTGAGTCTTGGCTTCCTCTGGAAAAGCCCTTGACTCTTCCAGGTAAATGCTCTGTCACAATCAGCTGAATTCCTACTTCATATTTCTGCGACTTGTAGCATGTGACCTATCTTAAAATTATTTTTTAATCCCATGTGTATGTATGTTTTGCCTGCATGTATGTCTATGTATCACTTGCATGCCTGGTGCCCTTAGAAACCAGAAGAGGGCATCAGACTCCCTGAAACTGGAATTAGAAGTGGTTATAAGCTGACAGGTGGGTGGTGGGAATTGAACCCAGGTTCTCTGCAAGGGCAAGTGGTGCTCTTAATCACTGAGCCATTTCTTCAGCTTCATGACATACTTTTTTTTTAAATGAGGTTTATTTTTATATTTATTTATTCATTTTGTGCATGTGCTTATATGTCCACTACATGCATGCTGGTGCCTGGGGAAG